TTTTTTTTTTTTTTTTATTCTGATATTTTGTGGACTCTTTTTGTTTAGCTTTGTTTTTCTTGGACTGCAGATTCTAGTCTGTGACAAATAAGTCAAATAGAAAACACTAAGGAAGTGAGACTACAGCTTGAAACACTCTTGGTGATTCACACTTGATTAAAGCAAAGCACAAGCTGTTACCAGATTTTTATTTTTATTTTTTTAAGATTCCTCTTAAATCTGTTTTTCTTTTTTTAGTAATTGCTAGCAACTTCCAGACATGCCTGGGCCTCCTAATGCACTACCCCCCAATAGGAGACATCAACTCACTGCTGCAAAAGGCTCTGTTCCTTCGAGATCCCAAAGTAAGTTATTATACCAGCGTACTTAACTAGAAAAATAATACATGTTGGTTTTGCTGATAGAATTGACAGTTGGTGATGTAAGTCTCTATAAAAGTGCTGATGTGTGTTATGCGCTCATGTGTCTCTTTCACTGTCTAACTGGTCACAGGGTAAAATGGGGAAGAGAGAAAGAGACTCATGATCAAAATCAGAACAAACTTACAGTTAAACAAGCTCTCTTCTAGCAGCTTTTATCAAGTAATTACTGTAAAGGCGATGCCTCACTCAAAACAAGTTGCCTTTTGTCCCCATCACAGAGGAAGTAGAAGTTTTGCAGAAGTGAAAGACTCATATGCACAGTGGGCTAAAATCCTCGAGCAACACACTTTTAGCAAGGACCAAAAAACTTTTTGTGGTGTTGTTGTACTCTCAGAAAGCGCTTGGGTGTAAAAAGTGAAGTTAAAATTGGCAGCAAGTATTTTAGTTTCTCATGCTTGAGAGGTTACATTTTAATGTCGGGGCACTTACTGTAAATACAGGAAACGCAGGTGTAGTCAATGAAGCGGTCACTGCAGTTAATGACAAGTAGTCGTAGCACAAATATAAGTGCATTTTAATCTTTGTGTGTAACAAATAGGCCTCTGTGTTTATGTTTGTATGTTTAATGTACAATTAAAACACATTAATCTTAAACTAGCAACCCTTGCATATCAGAGTTTATGGTGGGTTAGTTAATGTTCAGCTCAGCAGTGCATGTTTCATGGTCTTTGCAACAGCACTTCACTCGTTCCACATTTTGTCATGTTTACAACCTTATTTAAAATGGATGAAATTAATTTTTCACCTCAATGTCCTAAACACAATATCCTCTAATGGCAAAGGGGAAAAAATTTGCTTCAAATTCTTGCAAATTTATTAAAAACAAACATACAACATGTATATAAACAGTCACAGCCTTTGCTTAATATTTTGCTGAAGTACAGTTGGCAGCAATTACAGGCTCAAGTCATTTTTAGAATGGTGGTTTATTTTTGGACAGCTTCTCTCATTCTTCATTGCAGAAGCTCTCAAGGTCATGGTGGGGAGCATTGGTCCTCAGCCATTTTCAGATCTCTCCAGAATGTTAAGTCGGTTCAAGTCTAGGTTCTGGCTGGAACATTAACAAAGGAAAGAGACACCCCCCCCCCCCCCCCCCCCCCTCTTCCCTCGCCAGTCTGAGGTTTAAAGTGCTCTTGAGCAGGATATCATCAAGGATGTCGCTGTACATCACTGCATTCCTCTTTTCCTTGACCTTGAGTAGCCTCCCAGCTCCTGAAAAACATCCCAATAACATGATGCTGCCACCACAGTGCTTCATTGTAGGGATAGTATTGGTCAGCTGATGAACAGTACCTGGTTTCTTCCAGACATGACTCTTGGCATTCAGGGCAAAGAGTTCAAGCTTGGTTTCATTAGGCCAGAGAATTTATTTTATTTTTTTTTTGATTTCTCATGGTCTGAGAGACTTTCAGGTGCTTTTTGCCTTCAGGTGGGCTGTCGTGCCTTTTACTGAAGAGAGGCTTCTGTATGGCCGCTCTGTTACAGGCTTGACTAGTGGAGTGTGGCAAATTGGCCGGGCGGCCAGTTATTCTTGGTGGTTCCAAACTTCTTCAATTTACATATAATGGTGGCACGGTGGTTAGCACTGTTGCCGCACAGCAAGAAGGTCCTGAGTTCAATTCCCCATCAGGCCGGGGTCTTTCTGTGTGGAGTTTGCATGTTCTCCCCGTGTTTGCGTGGGTTCCCTCCGGGTACTCCGGCTTCCTCCCACCGTCCAAAGACATGCAACTTGTGGGGATAGGTTAATTGGATAATCCAAATTGTCACTAGGTGTGAATGTGAGTGTGAATGGTTGTCTGTCCCTGTGTGTTGGCCCTGCGACAGACTGGCGACCTGTCCAGGGTGTACCCTGCCTCTCGCCCTATGACAGCTGGGATAGGCTCCAGCGCCCCTGAAAAGGATAAGCGGAAGCGAATGGATGGATGGAGGTCACTCTGCTTACTGTGACTTTCATTGCTGCAGAAACTGTACTCTTCCCCAGATCTGTGCCTCAATACACTCCTGTCTCTGAGGTCTACAGACTTGGACTTCATGGCTTGGTTTGTGCTCTGAAATGGACTGTCAACTATGGGACCTCATATAGACAAATGTGGGCCTTTCCACACCATGTCCAATCAACTGAATTTACCACAGGTGGACTCTAGTGGCAGATGATCAGTGGAAATGGGATGTACCTGAGCTCAACTTTGATGATAAATGCAGTGGGAAAAAAACTTCCAATGTAAAAGTCCTGTCCTGAGTTTGATTACGAAAATCCTAAAATGGCACAATGATGCAACTGCAAGACAGTTAAAGTAAAAACAGAAGTACTTGTGCACTTGGTAAATGTGAAACTATGTCAAGTGCAAAACTCTGGTCTAGTTTGGAAATCCAAAAAAGACCTGATACATTTTTGCCAAGATTTCTCCAGCCCTGACCATACTTTTCCTGTCATACACTTGTTTCTTTCCTCCTGCGGTCTTTCTGATTTTTGTTCACTTAACCAGAGGTCTGCTGTGCTGTTACTTCTCCCATGCAGAACGTTTGTAGTTGTACCGTTTTATTTGCATGTAAGCTCGACGTTGTTGTGTGAACAAGTTAAATCAGCACGGAGTCTTTGACCTTAGCGAACACCTCACCTAAATTATCTTTTGTTCCTCGTCCAAATTCATTGACCTGTATACTGAACAACTCCACCAAACTCCTGTTCACCACTCTCCTGAGATGAAATTTCAGGAAGGTGTTGATCTGACATGACAGTGTTACCCCCAGGTGAACAGCCATGTCAAACCAGGTCAACATCAGATTTATACCTGGAGGGTGGTTGGGGAGGGTTCATCCCTAATAACAGTGCAAGAAGGGGCATGGTGGAGGTTTGTTGCTCATAAGTACTGACTCAGAAACATATATTGACTTATTTATGTAGTCATGCATGTGCACATATTTTCGGTTGACTTGTTTACTCTGAGATTACTTGTTTGTTGTGCACAGCAGAGGTTTTTAATCGGTCTTGTTAAAGTTGTTAACAATAACAGTTTAAGCTTAAGTTATTGTTTTTGTAGAACAACCCGCGACCTGTGAACTACCACTTCCAGCAGAACCTGGATTACTACAAAACAAAGGGAGCTGACCTGATGAACAAGACACGGTAAAATAAGGCACAGCCTTGTCTTTGAATGGACCTGACATCGCGCACACACATGGATATAAACATATGGGGCATGCATGCATACATACATGTATGCATCCAGGACAAAAATGCATGTTTCCAATTCAAAATTAATTGGACAAACTAAGATATTTTAAAATATAAGGAATGTTTTTAATACTTTCCAGTCAAAGACTGCCTGAAGTTTATAACCCAACACATCACCAAATGCTGCGTTTCCTCCCTTGAGATGCTCTGCCAGGTTTTTACTGCAGTCTCCTTCAGTCGCTGCTTGTTTGTGGGTCTCCATTTAATTTTGTATTTAATAACTGAAAGGTTATTAGGTTGTGATGAGGTGACTGTCTTGGTATTCTTTAGATCATTATCCATTTGCATTGTAAAGCACCATCTGATCAGTCATGCTGCTTTTATTTGAATCTTATCTGAGAGCATCACCCTGTGGTGAAGTTCAGACCAAAGAAAATGAAAATTTTGTCTTTGTCCAGAAAATTATGGACTCAACTGTATCTCATACAATATGGGTTACATTAGTGGCCGTTGATAAAAATTGCTTTAGTTTAGTTATGTGCAAGTAATCCCAGTGAGCCAAAGGTTCAGACTGCTGTTTCAAACTACCCTCCCCTCTATTCTGGGCTCTATATGACGCCCATGACAGCTTGCAGAACTTTGAACCTTCACACATAAATGACAGATGGGTCCATTTGACTCGAACATGGCTACAGTTTTCAGTATTTGTCATTATTTATATATTCACATTAAAAATGTGTCTATATGTATAAAATACTAAAATTGCTCCTGCACGGATCCTTAAGTTTTATTAAAGCATAACCTTACCTTGTAAGTCCACTCGCCATTAGTCATTTTATTTCCTGCTTTCTATTCGTACATATTCTTTCACATGAGCACATTCTTTAGGTCAGTGAAATTGTATAAAAGTAATATAAAATAGGCAGTGTTTGTAGGCTCCCTTGTGTGCATGAGACAAGAATGCGGTCATTAAAAAAAAACCTCAGATGAGCTATTAGAAATCAGACCTCCACTCGGAGCATTAAAGTTTTATAGGGTCTAAAACTACCTTAAGATCTGCAGTCGTTAATATTAAGAACGAGATGTCAATTTGTGTTATTGTGCCGGGTAATCCAGGTTTTAAATTCTGGGATAACTGTTTTGCATTCAAGAATTAAGCACCAAAAAAAAAAAAAACCTCTCATGAGCCATTTTATAGCATTTGTTTTGTCTTTGAGACTTCTCAGGCTAATCCCACATTTCTGGAAGCAGGGTTTAATTTTTATATCTTATAAAATATAAACCTCTGGATACCTTGAAGGTAGAACATTTGTTAAATAATGCTAAAAGTAGTAGTTTGGAAAATCTTCTGGTAAAGATAAGATCAGGTGAAGTGTCTCATATCCTTTTCTTTCTAGCTCTGGCTCTACAAAAGCTGCTCCACTCAACATCAACAAGGTCTCCAGCAGTCTGCTCAACTTCGGCAGGAAGCTCATTGCTCCAGCCATGTCTGGTGCGTCTATTTCACCAATCAACAGCGAGGTACACTCCTCCTCTTCCTCCTCCTCGTCCACCTCCCCGGCCTCGGCCCCTACGCCCATCTCACCACACCCGCTGGCAGATCCGTCAGCTCCGACACAGACCCAGGGCCAGGCCCAGACTCAGCACTATCGCCTGCTCAAGTCTGAAAGCATGCCTGTCCACCTGAGCAAAGGTGAGCACAAGTAGTCAAAACAGAAATGTTCCAGATTTGTGGCAGGACAGATGTGATGACATCCTTCTTACCATCTACTAGTTGGTGTATTATGTACCCGGTGAATTACCCTTACACCCTTTTTAACACTGGTTGTTGAAGTTTGTTCAGCCTTTTGGTTTGTGTGGTTATGGCAGCATCGGCTTTGACTCTCCTGTCTGTTAGATGGCGTTTCAGGTGGAGTGTCTCAGGCCTCAGCCCAGACTCACAGTGACACACAAGGTAACTGCTGTTATGGCAACTGCTTGTGTGACATGCCCGGCCTTATTTGTCCGTGCTTTCATCACTGCCAGCCCATTTCTAAGCATCCTGCATGTTGTACGCCGTTTGCTCACCTGTCCCTGCTGTTCGTGTGCCAAATGTTACCATAAACAGACATGAGTGTGTGCTGCATGTGATTTTCAACTGTGACCACCAGAGGGAGATCACAGCTCGCTGCATCAGTGCAGATGATGGCATAGGCATCACTAGTGAGCTGCGACATCTCTCATCAGTAGTCCTTTAAAAAACCAAACAAAAAACCTGTCAGCAAGTTTCTGTTGTTGCATCACTGTAGCTGTAAACCCCTATTTGTCGTGTGTGTGTGTGTGTGTGTGTGTGTGTGTGTGTGTGTGTGTGTGTGTG